CTGTAGTTATAAATAAGAGATGCGGCGATGTCAATAGACAGGTTCGAATGAAATAGGAATTTATAGTATGTTCTAAGCCAAGAATGAAAAAAATCTACCTCTCATGACCCTCTCGTCCAACTCCTAATTGAGAAACAGTAGAACAAAAGAAGACCCGCCTGATGCACCATGCATGAACTGAATGAACATAAGAGAAGGAAAGGAAAGAGAAGAAAAGAAAAGAAAAGAAAAGAAAAGAAAAGAAAAGAAAAGAAAAGAAAAGAAAAGAAAAGAAAAGAAAAGAAAAGAAAAGAAAAGAAAAGAAAAGAAAAGAAAAGAAAAGAAAAGAAAAGAAAAGAAAAGAAAAGAAAAGAAAAGAAAAGAAAAGAAAAGAAAAGAAAAGAAAAGAAAAGAAAAGAAAAGAAAAGAAAAGAAAAGAAAAGAAAAGAAAAGAAAAGAAAAGAAAAGAAAAGAAAAGAAAAGAAAAGAAAAGAAAAGAAAAGAAAAGAAAAGAAAAGAAAAGAAAAGAAAAGAAAAGAAAAGAAAAGAAAAGAAAAGAAAAGAAAAGAAAAGAAAAGAAAAGAAAAGAAAAGAAAAGAAAAGAAAAGAAAAGAAAAGAAAAGAAAAGAAAAGAAAAGAAAAGAAAAGAAAAGAAAAGAAAAGAAAAGAAAAGAAAAGAAAAGAAAAGAAAAGAAAAGAAAAGAAAAGAAAAGAAAAGAAAAGAAAAGAAAAGAAAAGAAAAGAAAAGAAAAGAAAAGAAAAGAAAAGAAAAGAAAAGAAAAGAAAAACGAGGAAAGAAATTATGCATTTGCATACAGAAATAGTAAATGAGCCGGGACCAGGCCGCCAGTATCAAATACGAAAAACACACCGACTGTGAACCAACCCGCACCGCAAAACATGACCTATAAAACGAAACAAAAATAAGAAACACGAAAGAAGACCGGGTATCAAACATATGCGCTCAGTCGTCGAAACCATCCTAAAGCTCCTCTTCCGTCGTTGCCGTGGGGATTCGTTGTAGACATGACCTCGTTTCCTATGTCCATACAACGTCTACATCTCTTTCCATCACATCATATCGTCTTCATTCGTCTAGTTTAGTATCGGCAACCAAGAAAATTAACAGCACTTCTTGCGCTCTTTTCGATCCCAGCCGTCTGCTTGTGTCTGCTCCTGGGTTCCCGCCTGCTCGACCGTAACAGCGGGCGAGAAACTTGGCGAGAAGAGCCAACTTCGACGATCGCGGCCTACTCGGAAACTCCCTCGTGCGTCTGCACCTGCAAAATAGCCTCCGTCCATGCCGGCTTCGTAACCTGGCGTACCAGGGATGGCAGTGGCCATCAGAAGGGCCTGTTGCATCTTGCGGTTCTGCTCAACAAGCTTGCGGGTAACAACACGAAAGACTTCCTCGACGCCCTCTCCTGTTTCGGCGCTGATTTCGTGACAAGCGTCCCAGCCAACTTCCTGTGCCCAGAAACCAGAGCTTCGCTTCGAGCTGGGGCTCCGAGGCTCCATAGATGGAGGAGACATTGCCTGGCCGCCGGACATAGGCGTCGGTACGTGGTAAGGGGTTGCGGTCGGAGGCGGCGTGCTGCCCATGCCTGGGGCAAGGTTCTCAGCGACGTATGCGATACAACGTTCGAATGGGACCTGGCGGGCTGAGGGATCGCGGGCGACAATGTCGGCTTTTGTACCGACTACGTGAAGAACGACATCGTGAGGGAGGTTTCGTCGAAGTTCCATGAGCCATACACCCATATCGGCGAATGACTGTGCGTCTGTGATGCTGTAGCAGAGGATGCAGGCGTTTGCGCCACGATAGTACAAGCGAGAGATAGAACGAAAACGTTCTTGGCCGGCTGTGAGTTGATTTAGCATACAAGAGACTAAAAACTTGTTTGGCTCCTTATCAAGACCAACCTGTATCCCATATCTGAAGGCGCACAACGGTGTCCGAGTCAGAGTCAACGACTCGCTTCGTGAGAAAGCTGGCGCCGACGGTAGAAGTGATTTGAGCCGGGTTGAATGCGCCCTTGCAGTATCTCATAACCAGGGACGTCTTCCCAACGCCCTGGGCGCCGAGGACGACGATCTTGGCTTCGAGCGACGACATGATTATTGGTGATGGTCGCGTCGTTTGCCAAGAGGAGGTAGAGGGAGTTTGGGACTTCCCTTTGGGAGAAAAACGCAGGAAATGAAGGGGGGAGAAAACCGAGGCGCACGAAAAAGAACGGAAGAAGCAAAAGAGAGAGAAAAGAAAGAAGAAAAGAAGCTGAAGTGGTTGAAAGAGAGGAAAGGGTAAAAAAAGATAGGCGCAAAAGAAAAGAGGGTCGGGGGTTCTTAGTCGTGGTGTCGTTATTATAACAAAGGTAGCTAGGCTAGGTAGCTCAACTCTTTCTTTATTGTGAAGGATGCTTATTTGAATTTCATGCCTAGGGGCGTGCAGGCAATGGAGGGATCTCGGGCGCAGAAGTTAGGACATCGATTATCGATAGAGCAAAGGAGATTTTTTGAGAGGTAGAGTTGGCGTAGAATTATCGATCATGAGCCTAGAGCTGAGAGCTGAAGGAAGAGACAGTGGTAACGAAGTCAACAAACAACAATAATAGTAATTCCAATGTAGGTATCTAATGAGTCAAGTGTATTAGGCAGCAAGCGTCAACGGAGATTGTGTAATTATACTCGATGCGATGCAATTAACCTATAGGTAGTTACTCAACGTGAGAGGGCATAATGTAAAGGAGTCAACCCCATTTCAAAATTCCCTTTCTGGAGACCTTTAGACATTGTCCTTATTACCTAGATCCGTGGATATCAACCAGAGGTCATTCACTCGCTCAGCCATCCCCCCCTTGTCGGTTCCGGCGCCTCTACAAGGCCCAGTCCACTGGAAATCCGCTAAGCAACCCCGCTGGAACTAGAGCGCACGGCCTTTCAGGAGCCTCAGGTCCGCTGACGACATGCGCTAACGTTCCAAAGTGCTTCACGTGGCACTCAGTCTCTACGTCATTTCCATCCACGAGTCAACGGCTTTGTCCCTGTCAGATCGTCAGTTGAGGTTCCCTATTGTCAATTCTAGCGATCAACACACCTCAACCATAAATAAAGGTGAGTCCCTCAGGCAGGTAGCTATGGTTCATCATCGCACACAATGGCCGTGTAGCGAGTGACTCGAACGGTTTGTCTCATCATCACCAGACTTCAGGTACCACCAGACGAACAACAAAATAACGTATCTGCAAAAGTTCCAGTTCTGTCTAATGTACGCATTCCTCGGCTTAATTACACTCACCGCTATCCTCCCCAATCTCGACTTCCCTCGAGCACAGCCTCTCGCTGCAGTTATCCCGCACCTCGTTCCATCATACATGACAATGGGAGCGGTCCAATGACAACCAACCAGCCAACCAGCCTCTCGATAGGCACTAACGCGGGGGTTCGATTACCTACCTACAGGCTACATGGAGTGTAGTAGTCGACCAGAAAATTGCTCAGATTGGGTGAGAAGCGAGTCTATCGGTTATTATCCACATGCGGCTGGAGCGAACCAGATCGGCATTGCAGCCAGATGCATGCCATGGCCATGACCATATCCCCGGTCAAATTGCGAAATGACACAGCTCAGCTGGGAGAATTGTTTTCCGTTGGACGGACTCTTGTCGGAGTACGGAGTAACGGCCGATACTTTTCCTTGCCAGACCGGAAACTATACGCTTCCTTTGTCAATAGAACCCGGATTCTCGCTGTTTTGTTTGACAGATCTACTACCCCCACACAAATACACAAGCCAGCATCCCCTGTAAATAAATCCCCACCCTGATAAAAAGGATATGGTGTGCCAACATTAAAACATGGACCGTAAACAGCCCGAGTCGAGTTTAATCTCTTTCAGAATTCGAATTTCAAGGAAGAACAAAGGGATACACTGACCTCTGTTCTAGTAATCTTCATCAGACCTTTGGCTTCTCAATCTGAATCATCAGATGAGAAACATGTCTCAAGACATGGTCACGTCCAGAACAAAATGACGTATATCAAAACACAGTCAGAGACACAATGAGAATTGAGCGCTCAGCTGCCCACAGATCGCGATCTTACCTGTTTATAAGAAAGAGACTACTTACCCAAGAGCAACAGAGTCACATCACCAGCATAAGCAGCCAGTCCGTTTACTACCTTTTCTTGAAAAAAGAAGCCTTTGTGTTATAGGGGCAACCCATTCATTATTTATTGTTTCCTGCTAATATGGGTCATGACCCCGCATCCCGCAATTGGCCATTCAGCCCTGTTTATGTACTTACCCAAGGCATTGAGCTTCTCCACGGCTTCATATCATGGCAAGGATACCACAGACCAACTTCTCAGCACGTCTGCAAAACAAAAACATAGTTCGAGATGCGAGAAAATACAAAAAGTAACAATCAGAGGGCACTGGGATTGCTCCCGCCAGGGCTTGATGAACCTGAGACCTTCGCATTACCGGACACTCGGAATGAAGTATTAGTACGACGCTCTAACCAACTGAGCTACGGAAGCCTTCTGATTGTTGAAGATCACGGTGCTAACATAGTTCATGGATGCCGACCAATCATGCATCTGGGCTTGATGCTCATGCAGCGGCATAATCGATAATCTCAAATCGACCGCCCCAGGTTGAATCATAAGTTGGTAAGCAAGTATGGCGAATGCTGCTGAGAGAAGCTGCCGGAAGAAGCTGCTGGCGTGTTACCGATTTTTTGGCTGACAATCCACATGCGCTACCATCTGGGCATCAGAAACCAATTCTAACATGCACTCTCGTAGCTCATTTCTTTAATATCGCTGGTATTTTTCGTACTCGTGTCTTACTCAAGATATAGTGATTCTTTATTTAGTATTCAGTGCTGCTGGTCAAATGAGGTGAATGGCGATGAGCCTAATGATTTATTCAAGGATGACTGCCACGTAGATACATGTACGCAAATATGTCAAGGCCGGCCTCAACTATCGCCATTGCTCACCTTGTCACAATCATGTTCTCATTCATACATGAAGCCCCGGATTCCCCTCAACGCCGATGGTTTCTTGTCTTTTTTCGCGCCTGCGTCCTCTTTAACCTTGTCCTTCGAATCTTTACGGAGTCGATTGTGTGTTGCGCTGGCAAATAAGTCCGAGTGACTCCTGGCAAGTAATCGTCCCCCATCACTTCGTCCGAATCGCTGGTGATCCGGGCTCATGGATAGAGATGATGCATCTGTTCCCAATGGTGACCCTGGTGGATGTGCCCAACCCCCTGACTTCGGTGATAAAGCAGCTTCAGGTTTGTGCCCCAGAGGTGGCGTGACATTGTATGCAGTGCCCTCTGCCATGTCAGGGCTTGAGAGCACACGCTGTGACCGCGTTTTCATCATGACTGGGCTCGTTGATATGGATGACGTATCGTGCTCTCCATCTGGTGAGGTCTCGATCCTGAGATGTCTTGGCTTCGTTTCCGTCTTCATATCCAGGAACGATGACTGCAAGGCGGTGTATTTGCGCATCAGCAGGTCGCATTGCTTCTGTAGTTCAGCTTGCTTCTCTCGACTTGCTGCGAGCATTGCCTGAATTGCTGCCTTGCAATCTCGAGAAGGTTGAATTCTTCCCTCCTGCGCCTCGGATAACTTCGTCTGTAGGGTTGCAACTTGGTTCTGGAACAACTTCCTAGCACGCTCGATTTCATTCTCTCGACTGGCAAGCTGAAGATTCAGAACCTCAACTCTGCTCTCTGCGCCTACAGCGGCAGCGATTGCCCTTTGTTGCTCAAGTTCCTTGGCCTGAAAATCACGCTCAACCTTTGTCAACCTATCGACTTCACTTTTCAAGCGGTCGATTTCAGCGCTATGAATTTCGATAGACTGCATATTCTGCTTCCAATTGACCTCCTTGACTTCGGCCTCGCACAGTAGTACCCTCAACTTGTCACGCTCCGCAGTGGAATTATCTAGCTCTTTCTGAAGCGCTTCGTAGTCAGCCTTGAGTCGCTTTGATTCGTCACGCAGCTTCTTAAGCTTGGTGGAAAGGTCGGCTTCCCACTTCTTCGCAAGGGCACGACTCTTCTCCGAATCCCGCCGAACTTGCATCTCGGCTTTCTTCGCTTCCTCAAACCGGTGCTTCAAGTTACGGTTTGTGATGAGTAGATTCTGTGTTTCTGCCTCTGTTACAGCTTCCTCCATATGCCGTCTGCGCAAGTCACCAATATGGGCCATATGTTGTTGTTTCAAATATCTCTCAAAATTTAAGTCATTCTGCAAGAGTAAAATCTGGCGCTGTAGATGAGCCACTTGTGTATTCGTCTCAGTCAAGGAAAGTGGCGTGCTGGTAGTTGGCGGAGCGCCCAGTAGCGATGGGCCAGGCCGATCAGCCACAGAATCTTGATTGCTGAGTGACAGTGATGGCACGCTATCATTAGCCAAAGACTGATGCAAACCTGACTTGATGGCCTTGTTAGATTGGATCATATCCTGTAGTTGTGTATGAGAGGAAGATTGGATGAGATGAGGACCAAGGGTTGGACTGTCGGCGTTTGGTTCTCTTATCCTGGCATCAATAGAATCCCGGGTTGATGGAATGCTTGATTGGGAACCCCGCCGAATTAGAGCTGATGGCCGACGACTACTCGCTAGCGAGTCCGTACTGGCGGATGTAGGCAAACGATAGCCGTTGTGGGATTCAGTCTTCGTCATTGGAAGAGAAGGGTGATTTTCTTTGACAAATCTTTCGTTTGATGGAGGCGCTTCAGATACAGACAAAGGCTGCTCGAAAGGCTGGTTGGAATCGTTTGTGAAACACAAAGCCATGCACTGAGCAACAACCTCCGAGGCCTCGCTCTTGATCCAGCGACCAAAATCCGTCTTTTCCGAATCAATTGTGAGGGTGAAGAAGTTTGGATGAAGTAAATGGCATTGGCGGAATCTTTCTGATTGGTCTCGAATCTCGGTAGGCTGAACTTCCATATCGTTGGCATTTGCAACATTGGCGTGACGTAGGTATCTCTGAGGCTTGCGAATATAGTCCATGAAGTTGATCGGATAGAGACCATAAAGAATGGTATAGTAGTTAAGGAGGTGATAGACAGGGTGATCATCGACCTCTGCCTCATAACTGCATTCTTCCCAATTGGATGAATCTGCATCTTCTGGCTGAGGCTCAACCACGCCGGCCCGCTCTCTTGACCAGAATAATAGCCTTGCATAAATGTTGAACAGCGTAGGTAGATGCGGAACCAGTGAGCTTGGCATCTGTGGGAGTAACATAATGACAACTGTCAGTGCGGCTGACACTATGGTCGTTGAGCTATCCTGTTGTAGGGATTTTAAAATATCAGCGAATAGTGGCGTTTGTAAAATCTGGTGTACGTGAGGAGGTTGGCTTTGAAGATAGTCGCCCAAGAAGCGCAAGACAGCTTTTCGATACTGTTTCTTCACAAAATAACGATCAAGCGCAGTAAAAAGTTCCTTGCTCCGGTCAGAAAAACCCCTAATGAATACAATTTGGGTATATATGACTAACCTTGGGATGCTTCTTCCCAAACTGCACAAGAGCCTCCCGCGTGATTCTCTCGTTTGCCTCAAGGCTTGATAGCGCTTCGGTGACAGACGGGTAAAGCTTCTCCATCCATCCTGTGAACAGACGGTCAATGAGTGGGTTGGAGGAAAGGCCAGAATCAGAACCGTCATGATCCTCTTCCGCAATTGATATGATCTCCATGATATTCGCCAATGAGGCTTCCACAACACCTTTCTCGGGAGATGACTTGGCTAGAAGCGCAGAGCATGAGTCCCACCATGCAAATATCCGCTCAGGAGTTCGAAGTATCGAAAGCAGTTGACGAAGGATGTTCAGAAAGGGCGCGAAGGCTGAGGGTTTGTCTTTGACGTGCTTGTCAAAAATGGACAGGAGCTCTTCCTGCAGGCGATCTGCCGTAGCATCATCGTATTTCTGGTGTCGGCGGAGGTAGGCATCAATGATCTTTTCTAAGTCGTCGGGCAGCGAAGCCGTTGGCTCAGCGAGGAAGGCGACGATCGCCTTGGAGAGGTCCTTTAGCGACCTAAACAGTGGAGATCATTGTCAGCGGACAGCGTATAGTATTCGACGTATGGAGATGAATGTCGCAGGATTTCAAGGAGGAGATGGAATTAGAAGATCATGAGGGACGAGCCGTTGAGTGAGGGGAGCTCAAACTGGCGACGTTTTGGGGATGGAGTTTTCTGCAGGGGACTAGACGACGTACGCCGATGAAGCCATGCTGGGCTCGACGGCCTCATCCGAGGTCGTGAGACTCAAGGTGAGCAGACCGAGATGGGGAGGCCCTTAGAAGTGTGGATATCGAGCCAGGGACCTGGAGTTGTCGGACATGCAATTTGGGTGAAGCTATTCGGTGACGCTCAGTCAGTATTCAGGACAGGCCATCTGATTTTTGGGAATGGGTAACGGCGCGGCGCGGTTGGCCGTGGCGGTACCTTGCCTTTCGCTGCACCATTCTTAAGGTGGTGCGAGTTGTGGCGCTTACGAGTGGAGCCCCCGTGCGCTGGAAAATCATTCGGCGACCAGCGACTTCACTGAAAACAGCGGTTGTAACGCGAGCCACAGGGGGTCGTCCAGAGGCTAACGCTTTAGTCATGGTCTAAGCGAAAATGAGTTTTGGGGGTTGCGGCAGGGAGCGGGGCCGGCAGAAAGCTGATCGGTCACAGCTTGATGTCCCGACATGGTCCCCTCTACCTGTCCGACCTCCAATGGAGACAGCCGAAAGACGGTACCCTGAACCTCAGGGAATGCCCCGCCGCGCTAGTAACCCCGCAGTTTCCTGATACTAGCTGCAGACGAGAGCGTACCATGACTTTGTGGGTAATGATCACACCAGACTCAGAGTCCTTCTGACCTAGAAATCGAGCCACTCAACTTTGGGCCAGGAAGGGAAGGGAAGGGACGGGACTTGATTGAGTGAAGTGAGGTGAGGTGAGGTGGTTCCAGTTCCTGAGTCGTCAATCGATGAGGGGAAAGACTCATGGCAAAGCAACCACATAACATTCCTTACTGTACTTAAAACGGCCCTCCTGCTCTTCCTCATCTTCTTCTCCTTTCCTTCCTTTCTCATCATTATCCAGATCACTTATAAACCAATTCAGCAACAACAACAGTAGCCTCTTTTTCTTTGGTAGCTAGCATCTCCTTTTAGTGCTCATCTACATCTATAACTTGACTTCAACACCCGTCACAATTCTTCCTCAACTATTACCCTCTTCTAAACCCCCAACAATACCGCAAAGATGAGTGCGCAGAAGACCTCGGCCATCGCTGACCAGGAGCCCGTTGACGTTCTCTTCGCCATTCACGAAAAGTTCGATCTTCTGGACTTTGCCGGCGCGCTCGAGGTCTTTACTACTGCTTCACACGATTTCAAGGACCCTGACAGTAAGTATCCTCTATCTCACAGTATACTAGTCCATACCCCTCGTTTTGGTGTACGGTGCATTCATTTGCTTTACCCCTCCCGCTGATCACATTTCCCCTTCATGTAGACAGCAAGGCCTTCGAGGTCACCATCGTCGGTCCTGAGCCCAAGGTCATCTCCGACCAGGGCGTCGTCGTTGGCTCCCAGATTTCCTACAAGGAAGCTCACGAGCGTCTTGAGGACTTTGACATCCTCGTTGTCGTCGGCGGTAACTCCAAGGAGGTCGTCGCCAAAGAGCTCCAACCCCTCTCTCTCATCACCGACTTCTCGGAGCTTCAGAAGCGTGACCCTGCCCGCGAGCGTACCATCCTCTCTATCTGCACAGGTGCCCTCTTCCTTGGCAAGCAGGGTATCCTCTCTGGCCTCTCTGCCACTACCCACCCCGACTTTCTCACCACCTTTGAGAACATCTGCAGCGATGCTGCTACTGTGAACCTTCAAGAACGTACCGATGTGGTTGAGGACGCTCGCTACGTAGTCAACAACCTTCGATTCGATCTCGGCGAAGACGAGAGCCCATACATCCGCCGCAAGTCCGATGCTGGTCAGGGACGTCGCCCTTCGGCAGCCCGGTACGTAACACATGCAGAGTGGTCCCTCTATACCCCACTCTGTCATGCATTGGCTTTGAGACAGTTGAACTGACTTATGATGACACACAGAAAGGGAAGCATGTCGTTCAAGGATTCCAACACCCGTCGTGAATCCATTGTACGCCGCGCAGCCATGCGACTTGGTGGTCTCCGGGTGGTCACATCCGGAGGTGTCAGCTCTGGCATTGATGCAGCCCTGTATCTTGTCAGCGCTATGATTGACGACTTTACTGCGTTGGAGGTGGCTAGGAGACTTCAGTGGACCTGGAACAAGGGCGTTGTCGTCGACGGTCTCGACGTCTAAGATCCCTGGCATTGATTGCCGGCTTGTACGAATTAAGAGTTTACGAGGGGCTCAGGCATGGCCCTGATTGAGACCAATATTTATGTATTTAATGTATTTGACTGATGAGCGGGAGGAACCCTAAGAAAATACCAAAAAGACTAGGAGCTCTCTATTTAATTCAATTGTTTTGGTCGCCTTTCAAAACTGTTCGGGAAAGCCAGTCAAACTGAATTGATCACTGATGATAACCAGATGCCATCCTGGGCTGATTGGGTTCATGGCTGTGCCGGCGTTGAACTGCGGAGGTGGAGGTCAAAATGTGACACTAAAAAGCCACCAAAACACAAAGAGCAAACGCCAAAGGGCAATGACGTGTTGTTAGAGCAGGACCCACACAAGCTCGTGGAGCTCCAGGTCGCGATGCGGGATAAGCTGGAGGTCGTGTGATGATGGTTATGTCCACGAACCAGGGGGGAAACAGGGGTTGGAGTGGGCTAGGCAAGGGACATCATCTCATACTATGGGTGAAACGAGCAACAAAGCGGTCGTTAGTCCATCTCGTACGGAGGTACAGCTGCGTTTGTATCAGGGACGGGCTGGGGATTTAGGGATCGGAAAAGAGAAGCACGATCAAGGTGACAAGGGTAACATTGTTTTCGGTGGAGGAAATTGGACATGAGCTCATGGTATCGAGACCAAAAACGCATGAGAGCATTTGAAGTCATGATGAACTCAATAGACTCAATCAATACTTTACTGACCATGGCCCCTCAGCAGGAGCTCATCAAGTCAATTGCATTCTAATGACCGACAATCCACAATACATCAGTTTGAGGGGTACAGTCAGTACCTAAGTATTCTTTTGTGCAACCTACCTACGCATGGCCCACTTGCGGCTGCATATCATGAGACTGCATGTGACCATTAGGATAATTTTAGTTATTAGTCTTTGAATGACCAAGTCTGTTGCCCTTAATCAGTGTGAGCATGAAGTTACGCCAAAAGCTGCCAATTCATGATGCACACCGTCATGGCTTTGGTACTACACTTTGCAGCGTTCACGTTGAACAAGAATAAGAAATTCAACTGATGTCTAGGAACCTAGATCTTGTGTGTGGCTGTCTTGGTTGTGTGGCTTGAGTACGCCACAATGCTGCAGAGTTGCTGACATAAGACATCTTCACTGTGGCATCTGATTGGATGGACAACCCTTAACACTTGGATTCGCAACGAGACTGAAGATAATCAAAGCTGTTTCGTGCTTTTCAAAGCTTTAATTCGTTACCTACTCTTGTCCTTCAGATTCAGATTTTTTCCCGGAGAATCAATCTTTCCAGGGGAGCACATGAGAATTGATTTCAAACAAGTCAGACGTTCACGCGCCATCAATTGCTTTCATCATGACTGACTGGGCCAAGCTCAAAGTCGTCGACCTCAAGGCCGAGCTCAAAAGTCGCGGTCTACCACAGCACGGTCTCAAAACAGAGCTTGTCGCACGACTAGATGAAGCTGATCAAGAAACTGAGAATACTGAGGCCCAGGAACAGCTTGAAGATGCGCCTACAGACAGGAAGTCGGAAAATGATGAGCCACCAGCTCAACAACCAGTCCTTGCAGACAACGAGCCCCAGGAAGCGGCCGAGCAGCACGAACCGGAAGAAGAGAAGCCAACGGCAGAAATAATGGAGCAAGAAGAGAAACAGTTGGATGATGACACGGCGGCCAATGCTGATGGGGAGACTTACAAAGGGGTCCCTGAAACCGAAAAGGAGGAAGATGTCAATAATGGAACAATAGAGGAATCGGCGCGCGATGGCAATCTAGTCGCTGACGTGCCAATTCCTGGGAATGAAATGGATGCTCAATCAAGGGACCCAACGGTGGACGAGAAATCAAGAGCGGGAACAGTGACAACCACTGTCGAATCTACACCCTCTCACTCACTCGAACCAACCCCTGCTGCCGAACAGCAAAAGCGCAAACGCCGCTCTCTCACACCCCCACCAACTGAAGAATCGATTGCTCGCAAACGCGCCCGCACGGAAGAGGGTTCAGCAAACGGCGATAGTCTAGGTGCGCGACAGGAAGATCTGCTATCTGAACCCCAAAACAAACCTGCTCCCACGAACTTGGATAGTGAGCCCCAAGAAGAAAAGCCTCAAGAAGAACCTTCACAAGAAGCTGCCCTAGAGACCGAGGTACCTCGACAAGAAGGATCTGGTGAAGACGGAGATAAAACGCAGGATATGGACTACGAGCGGGACGTCGCGCCGGCGGTGCACCCGGCCACTTCTGCACTTTACATCAAGAACTTCATGCGCCCTCTCCGACCTCAAGATGTCAAGGCCCATCTCGTCACGCTTGCGAGACGGTCTCAAGACGCAGCGGACGATGATGACGGGATTGTGACTGAATTCTTTCTGGACCAGATCCGTACTCATGGCTTTGTTATCTTCAAGAACACCGCTGCTGCCTCCCGCGTTCGCACTGCACTTCATGGCAGTGTGTGGCCTAATGAGAGCAATCGCAAAGCGCTCTGGGTCGACTTTGTCCCTCCTGAGAAAGTCCGGGACTGGATTGATACAGAACAAGCCAGCGGTGGCCCCCGCGGCCGCTCTGGTTCTCGATGGGAAATCGTTTATGAGGATGGCCCGCACGGCAATGTTGAAGCACATCTCGACGAAGCATCAGCATCAACATTTCGCACGATGCCTCAACTGGGCGCAAGACCACCCCCGAGCTCAACGATGGCCACCAACTCTATCCCTCTTGGACCCAGAGCCCTCCGAGACCCTGCCATTCCCACTGGGCCACGCCCTGTTCGCCCCGGCACTGGACCTGGGCCGAGACCTCCACCTATTAACCCAGGCGGTGCATTCAAGCGTACCAACACTCGCCCAGTTATCGACTACCAACCTGTATCAGAAGACCTTGCGCGCCGCCGCATCGATAACATGCGCTCTTATTACACAAACGATCGCAACCGCGATGTCGGCCGCGAGATTAATCGCTACTCATTTGAGAACGGTACTTCATTCGTTGACCGAGGCAAGGAGGTCTTTGAAGGCATCCGACCTCCACACCGCGAGCGAGCCATGGGCCGTGAGCGCCGTGGTGGGAGACGTCGTGGGCGCGGCGGCGGAGGTGGCAGTCGACCGCGTAGTGATCGGTACCTCCCCCCGCCACGGGACGACCACCGACCTCGTCGTGGCTCTTTGTCTGACGACGGCGACATTCGAATGAGGGACTGAAGGCTACGTGCGCAAGCTTTTCTATGCGGTGCGAACAAAAGACAGGAAATTCAAATTAATCACATTGCATTATGCACTTGGTATCAGGAGCTGTATCATATGGAGGGCGGCGTTGAGACAGCAAAAAGGCAAGGAAATAAATAACGGGTGTTTAGACATCAGTGAATTGAGTAACTTTGTTATAATTACCGCTTTAAGTCTGAAGACTGGTTTAATCCGATTTATATTTTGTGCATGAGCATTGGCTTCATTTAGTGAGACGCTACGGGCTAGATGCAACACTTACTGAGGTCCTTCACTCCATGATATCTCGTCACAGAGACATGACACGGCGACTTGAAGTGCAGTAGTGGTATCACAATCTTTCTTATACGACCAATATTTCTGAACATAACATTAAAATAGCAACCATTATCCTTGCTCGCGAGAAATTAACAGACGTTACCAACGACCTATCCCAGACGCCAAAATCATCTCACACTAGTCGTTCAAGCAGTCGCGGCAAGAGGAGTAGGTTCAACACCGACGCGCTCTCGGCTCATGATGTCGAGCATCAGGGGGGTAGGTCGGTTATCCTTGAAAACCACCTGGTTACTCTTGGCAAGCTGGACGTTCTGGAGGTACTTGTCGAAGAGGTAAGAGCTGTCCATAGGGCCACCCTTGGCCTCGGGGTGGAACTGGGTCGAGAAAATGGGGCGGGTCTTATGGAGCATACCCTCGTTGGATCCGTCGTTGAGGTTGACGAAGTACTCCTTAAAGTCGCTGGGAAGGGTGCTGGCGTCGATGGCGTATCCGTGGTTCTGGCTGGTGATATGGCACAAGCCAGTGGTCAAGTCGAGAGCGGGAATGTTGTGAGCTCGGTTACCATACTTGAGCTTGATGGTGCGAGCACCAACAGCAAGAGCCAGAAGCTGGTGGCCGAGACAAATACCCATGATAGGAATGTTGGAGGTTTCCATAAGGCGGGCGAGATTGTGGACAGTAGCCTGGCAATGGGTAGGGTCACCGGGACCGTTGGAGATGAAGACACCATCGAAGTGTTGCGAGACCTTGTGGATGGGGTAGTCATAAGGGAAGACTGTGACGGAAGCACCTCGACTGACCAGGCTACGAAGGATGTTCTCCTTGACACCGCAGTCGATCAGAGCAACGTGGAGAGAAGCACCGGGGGACTCAACAACGAAGGGAGCCTTGGTTGTGACACGCTTGACCAGGTTGATCTGGCCGGGATCAACGAAACCCTCATCCTCGTCGGCATCGTACTCTTCTCCAATGGAGATCCTAGCCAGGGAAGAGCCCTGCTCTCGGAGGTGGGTGACAATAGCGCGGGTATCAACGCCAGAGATGGCTGGAACTCCCTCTCGGGCGCACCACTCGCTAAGACTCTCGACGGCGGTCCAATGGCTGTAGTTGACAGCGACATCGGAGACAACGATACCAGCACACTGAACGTGGGGGGACTCGAAGTACTTGAGAAGGTTATACTCGTCTCGGACGGCGGAGGGAACGCCATAGTTGCCAATCAGGGGCTGAGTGAAGACGAGGATCTGGCCTCGGTAGGAGGGGTCGGTCATGGACTCGGGGTAGCCAACAAGAGAGGTGGTGAAGACGGCCTCACCAGAGATGTTGGCATTGGCGCCGAAAGCCTTGCCTTGGAAAACAGGACCGTCCTATGGGCATATTAGATTGGTTCGGCAAGTGAGATGTCATTGCAGGAGTACATACTCGAATTGTGAGAGTGGCGGGGAGAGAAGCAGCAGGGGCAGTAGCTCGAGCAGCAGAGAAGGGCATAGTCCTGCCCTTGCTACCAGCAACAGCTTTCTCAGACAGGTATCGGACCTGAAGCATGGTTCGGCCAGAAGCCGACGCGGACTTGGCCGCGGGTTTGGCAAAGGAAGCCAGTCGGGAGAACATTTTGGTATATGTCGGTTATGTAAGTTGTGTTTAGAGGAGAATAGTCGGTTGATCAAGAAAGTTCTTTAGCAAGACTGGGACTTCCAGAGGTGGTCTGTAATGGTGGATAGGTTAGTTTTCGATTCTAGTGGATAGATAAGGCAAGGTTTCGAGTGGTGAGTTTAAACTAGTGAAGGGTACGAACCAGAGAGATAATCCTATAAATTGAGTTAGCATTATGCCAATTGGAGTACATGGAGGTCTTGGTGATGAGGAGAGGAGCCATCGGCTGGATAAACATCCATCTATAGCTCCTACAACAAACATTGCAAAGCCACAGATAAAAATGTATTTAGTGATGGCGGGGTTGATGCAGCGAGTGTATGTCACACGCGACGTAACAAGGTAAAGAAAAAAAAGTGAACGTACCTGCGAGGTGAAGACGGATGGGCGCCCGTGCATGTGGGCGGATTAAAGAGACGAGCTCAGTTCAGAGTTATGAGAGAATATGCAATCGTATTGCAGGAACGTTGAGTTAGGCCTGAAGTTCAAGATTGTGTAATTTTGTCGCAAGGATTTCTTTCTGTTGGAGGAGAAGAAAAAAAAGAAGAAAAGAGTCAAGAGGGTGGGAGCCGGGAAGAAAAGATAGGATCCAATACCTCTACGGAGTAGGTAGTGAGGATCCAACCATAGACAGGACAGGACAGGACAGGACAGGATGGGATGGGATGGACGATAGGTGCGATCCCGCTCCGCAGGCGCCGCCCCGATAGGGAAAGCCTGACAACACGGCCTTGGTCATTGGCAAGTTTTTTCGAGCTGAGTGGGTTTCTGGCTGCAAATTTCCTCCTGGCGGAACCAGAAGCCCGCCCTTCCGCCAAAAATACAGTGGTGGGCGGGCTGAGCGCTCCGCCTATTGGCGCTACTAGAGCCCCGCTGCCAGGAACTGAACCCTTTGACAACATCTCTCAACCTCCGATATCGTTTTTGACTCTTGTCGATGTGTGAGTCCTTTGACCAACACCAATTACACGTCACAACACAACACATCCCAAACCGATCATTGAGCCTATCTCTCTTTTCTTCATACCACATACATCGCCAGAAGAAGGCAAATTGCGACAATTGAATCCGGTGTTTCGAATGCTGCGACTCATCACTCTTGCACGCAATGCCTAATTCATTCAACGTAGACATGTCGACTGAGTCAAGCGCTCCAGCGCGGCCATGCCCTTTATCTTGTCAATGAAACCATACAAGATCCACCGTCCCCAGACAAACTACGGATATTGTTGAGACGTCATTTGATTCGCCCCCATTAAGTTCTCTCCTCTGTTGGCGGTCAAAGCATGGAAGCCAAGCTAGAAGTATTTCTAGCGTAGCATTGTCGATCGCTCTGATAAGAGACTGTGGAGCTCTCGATGGCCCTGCCAGGCACGCGGCGTTCGGCAGTCGGAATCCAATCATGAGAGAACCTTGCAAGTCTTAGTCTTTATGTAACAATACGATGGATGCTTTATAGAGTCTCTTGAGCCTCAACTGAGGTACTAACAGAAAGTCATATCGCTGGCAGAAAACTGCTCACGTGCGTGCTTGTTTATCGAAATAGAGCCCTGGCACACCTCAGGCTTCCTGTGTGGCATCCACATAGACCAGTCTTATAAGTGCAAGTTGCGTTCCCATTATTCTACGGCACCCCGGCGTCTTCAAGTGGACCACCTTGGAACAACGGGAAATGCGTTGGATTTAACATGGATCCTTCGAGATCGAAACCTCGCTCATTGGAGTGAGGTTGCGGTTTTGTGTTTTTTTTTTGTTTTTTTTTTTGTTTTTCGTCACTTTCTTGCCTTTCTACTACTACTCTAATTCAACGGTATCTCACATCCATACTTAGGTACCTACACTCAAACAATTCAAGGAAAAGGAAAATATCAGCAATACAATATCACTTCTCACATCATTCCTATACATTCATTAAGTCAAATAGGTATATTAGCTTGGGTTTGATGTTCTGGATTTACTTGCTATGCCTTTCTTTTTCAATACCATCCATATCCCATAAGATGAGAAACGCACGCTTTCTCCTCCTTTCCATAAATGGGCGGCTCGGCGAAATGGTGAAAGTTTGAAAGCATCAGGTGCTATTAATATAAGTTAGAGAAATATATACTTATTGAAAGGAGAAAGTTATTCCAGCTCTAGTTTGGGTCGCCAGCGTATCAAGGGGAGCTTCGGGCAAATTGGAGAACAATATGCTTCAGAATAGTAAGAATACTCCATCCAGGGTCTGTCAATTCTAATGGCCTTCGGCTTCATCATGTTCACTATTTGCTTCTTATTTACAATGCACCAAGCTCCTTCAGCTTGCTAACCAAGCCACCAACATCCTCAACCTTACCACCTCCCTGGCGAGCTGGGGGTTCTGGGGGGCTATTAGTCAAAGCACCATGGGACGGACAATGTAATGTGAAAGAATGATAACTTACCAATGACCTTGAGTGTCTTAAGGCGCTTCACACCATCCACTCCAAAATCCTCAAGCTTTGTCTTCTCCAACTTCTTTTTCTTGGCCTTCATGATATTAGGCAAGCTGGCATAGCGGGGCTCGTTGAGTCGCAGGTCTGTCGTGATGACCATGGGCAACTTGGCGCTCACTGTCTCAACACCACCGTCAACCTCCTTTGTCACGGTGACCTTATCGCCAGCACCGAACTCGATCTTGCTCGCCTGTGTAGCTTGAGGCCACCCAAGGAGACCTGCAAGCATTTGGCCGGTCTGTGCCGCGTCGTCGTCGATGCTCTGCTTGCCCAAAATCACTAGGTTGCTCTTCTGCTGTTCCACGGCCTTCTGGAGGATCTTTGCTACTGTGAGAGGCTCTAGCTCATCTCCATCCTTGAGCTCGACGTGGATTCCTCGGTCTGCACCCATGGCCATGGCTGTTCGCAGCACGTCTTGCGCCTTGGGAGGACCAGCAGAGATAACGCATATATCCTCGACACCACCGGGCGAACGTTTCTTCTCTCGGATACGCACTGACTCCTCGACAGACAGCTCATCGAACGGGTTCATTGAGTGCTTGACACCGGCAGTTTCGACGGCCGTTTGGGCCTTGTTAACTCGAGGCTTGACCTGCAGAGATTATCAGCGTTCCGAGGCATCTCAATTGTCGCTATGATTCTTTTACAGCATAGTCGATGACCCGTTTGACGGGTACGAGGATCCGTAGTGCTGACATGTTGTATGTGTGTTGTTCAATGCGAAATTGAAGTTGTCGGGAGCGGCAAGACGTTCACGAGGGCCGGCCAAGTCGTCATGGCAAAGCTCGGCGCGGTAACGGCTAGGGCCGGTCTCAGCTCCAACCTCGGCCGACGGCCCACGTGACAGATCCGCCGGTTGAATGAGCGATGTCGGGATTCATTCCCGTGGTATTGATGTTATTGATGTTATTCTGATACAAAGTTTGTGGTGTATTCGTGGCATCATATCTTTCTCTTCCATCATTATCCGCTTATACATCTATGACAAAATTCTGCCAACATTTAGCTAAGAAGTATACCGGGGAGGAGGGAGGGAGGTGTTGAACCACCGGCAACTTATACACAAATGCCGAACCCGGCCATATAACTACTATAGTAGGTAAGGTAAGATACCTAAGGTACGGAGTACGGTGGTCTAAAATACCCTTGATGATGCAAGAACATATGCGGCACTGGTTCGCAAGGATTCTTGTGCTTCTGGGCGGGTTCGTGCTGGCAACACACAACGGTTTAACTACCCTGTCTTTGGCCTGACGGATTTACAAATGCAGTACACCCAGTAGTCGTAGTGCTACATGATTGCGATCTGGGTTGAGTGACGAACATGGAGAGGATATCCTACCTAAGTAGACAATGGATACATCTCAAGACAATAAAAGGCGACTCTGCCCTCAGGTAGTGAGTTGGTTCTCAAGAAAACTTAGCTCACTTCTTGGCAAGGTATCGTCTCAAAGACATCACTTCCCTACAATTGAGGTCCAAAGAAACATTCTCTTCTGACAGCCAGTCTGACTCTGTCTTAGGAGAAATTGCATCGCAGCACGCAAGGCTCGGGCCGCCTCGTTAACGAGAGAACAGGCAGCATGCGCAGAACGTGTCAGTGGTTGAATTGGAGCCAACTTCAAGGTGCCGCTGGATTAACGATTAGGTGGATTTAAAAATAGGTGCCGCTCCTGTGAACATGGTCCATTGATTCTCCCAACGATCCTCTGGCTCTAACATATCTCGTCGCTGGGTAAGGTAGCGGGGGACGTACTATATGTTTGTACCTTGAGCCAGACACGAAAGACAAAGCAACTCGATTATCCAAAGAGAGCTTGTCTTTGGTTGGCCGTCTGGTTTAATTACCAGCAAGATAGGTCTCGATAGCGGAGATTTGGCTTAGTACTGAGCTCCGGCTCGTCCCCCCCTGGGCAGTCCTTCTCTCAACGCTCCTCTCGAAGTCAAAGACGTCGGCAATGTCGGCCTCGAACTGAGGTGAGATCTGCTTAAGGTCTGGCAGCTCTAGTTCGGCGATGGATACACCCTTCTCCTCAGCCTTGCGCACAACGGCGCCGGCGATGTGGTGCGTCTGCCGAAAGGGCACGCCTTTCACAACTAGATAGTCGGCAACATCAGTGGCGAGCATGTCGACTGTTAGGGCTGCCTTCATCTTCTTGGAGTTGATCTGCAGCGTGCTCAAGACGCCGGTAGCAATTCGCAGACATCGCGAAACCGTCTTGACGCAGTCGAGAAGAGGCTCCACCGACTCCTGGATGTCCTTGTTATACGCAGTCGGAAGGCTCTTGAGGGTGGAAAGAAAACCTGACGCCTATAGACGATTAGTCAGTTCAGGGCACGGTAAGGCCCTTTCATCTCGTAACCCGGGCTTGACAAGAGACGAACCTGGCCCATAACCCTACCAGCCTTTCCCCGGATCAGCTCGAGACTATCGGGGTTCTTCTTCTGAGGCATCAAACTACTGCCGGTGCTGTACTCATCGGCAACCCGAATAAAACCAAACTCGGCTGTTGAATAGATAATCAAGTCTTCGCTAAGGCGGCTAAGGTGCACCATCAGCAGGCTCGACCACTGCAGGATCTCGGCGGCAAAGTCACGATCCGCGACCGCCGCCAGGCTGTTAGGGTGAACGGAGGAGAAACCTAGGTCCTTGGTGAGAAAAGTGCGGTCGATGCCGAAGGGGTTTCCCGCCAGGGCGCCAACACCGAGGGGACAACAGTTGGTACGCTCACGGACGCCGTGAAGTCGTTGCACGTCACCCATAAGGTAGGTTGCGTGCGACAGTAACCAGTGGGAAAAGCGAACGGGCTGGGCGCGTTGGAAGTGTGTGTAGCCGGGCATCAGGACATCGATCTCTGCCTTGGCGCGGGCAGCGCAAACAGCCAAGGCGGTGCGCAGTTGTTCGGATATGTCATCGAGCTGCGTTCGCACCCAAAGGCGCAGGTCGGTAGCAATCTGTTCGTTGCGGGAGCGGCCTGTATGAAGCTTGCCAGCGATGGCTGGGCCAATAAGCTCAGCTAGACGACGCTCGTTTGCCGTGTGGATGTCCTCGTCAACAGCAGGATGGATGACAAATTCCCCGTCAACCCACTCCTTCTCGACAGCCTCGAGGCCCCTGGTGATCTCGCTCAGTTCCTCGTCAGTGAGCAGGTCGAGCTGCCGCAGTGCCTTTGCAAAGGTGATGGAGCCCCTGACATCGGCCTCGTGCAACGCCATGTCGAAGGGGAGCGACTCGTTGAACGTAACCATGAGGTCATTCATCTTCTCTACATGGCGACACGGTCAGTATACATCGCAACAGTTGACAGAGCTGTACCGACCTGTGAAGCGACCGCCCCAGAGGAGCGTTGACGGGTTGGGTACCATAGTTGGTGGTAGTGGAGGGACGCTGCCAAATGACTTCCAGAAGGCCAAGTAGTTGGGTGTTATATGTGACACATACTCTTTATGCTTGTGGATTGAGACCACTTGTTTGGTCGAATCTTAAGGTTCAGGGCAGTAACTGTGTCACATGTTGAGTCTTCATATTAAGGTTCTTACGTGTTTTTGGGCGTAGTGCATGACGCCTGATGTTATGTTGTATTCGAAAACACCGTGACTGTATTATCCTGATTGTACGCCTTTGGTCTCACTTATATATGTTGACAGATACGTAGACAGAAAGGGGGATCACAGGACAGACAGAGCCCGAGCCTGGGCACAGTACCTACCTAGTACTGCTCTTCATATCAGCGACAGCTCACAGACGGATTGGGACTCAAGAGATTGTTGTTGTGGGTGACTGCTGGGGCACTTCGGCATTTGAAGCAGCAAGCGTTAGGACAATCAAGCGTTCTGAGATAAGTCGAGACTTTTGTAAAGAGACTGGTTCATTTAACAGGCACGCCTATACTCCAATGCTCCAACTAGGTACCTTAGATTGCCAACAAATCATCCTTCAAAACAGCCGAGACGACAACTACGCTGCCGCTCACCAATCATCCCATGCATCATCCTGCTTCTTTGGTGGTGGAGCCGCCGTGCTCTTCTTGCCCATTCCCATAGCACTTGTGCCGATTGAGTTGTTGGCGGGTTGTCTTTGATCAGCCAGATTTGAGAACTCATCCCAAAAGCTCTTCTTGCTCTCATCCAGGGGGGCTTCTCGACTTTTCTGGTTCTCGGGACCTTCCACGAATCTGGTGAAACCCTCCTGTGCATTCTTGCCCGCTGCTTGGGCCTGCTTTGCGAGAGCGGAAGCGGTCAGTTGAGCTTGCTTAGCAAAGTCGCCTTCGGCAAACTGTGATGTATTAGATAAGACTCCGAGATAAGGGAGGCAGAATGGCCTGGAAGAAGGCGTGACATACCTGCTTAGCAGTGGGCTGAATGTAGCCATCATTAACAGTCTTGGCGGTCTTTGAGACTGTTGACGTGAACCAGCCGAACCCCCTGGTCAGAGTCGCGACAGCGTCCTTCTGTATATCACCAAAGTTGAGGTCGTTATCCGAAGCATTGGGTGCAGGAGTACTTCCAAATCCAGCATATTTTCCTCCCTGGCTGGGTGGCAGATGGTCCGGTCGTGCAGCGTTATCGGCTCCAAGCCTTGAGAAGTACTGGTCATCTACCTTGACCTTGCCTCCGCCTCCGCCTCCACCTCCTGACGCGGCTGCAGGACTCTCATTGCGGCGCGAGCTACCACTCATGGGAGTCCCCGTTCGCGACGCGGGTTTCGTGGGCGCAGGCACAGGCTTCTTCGCACCGGGGACATATTCGCGGCCCTCAACCTTGCAACTCAGTCTCTCCTTCCACTCCTCACCGACCTCACCACTGTATCGCTCTGCAATAGTCGAGTCTTCCCATGTGATGCCCATCATCTTAGTTTGCTCATGCTCTTCAAAGAAGTTCCTCCATCCCTCGTTGCCGCCCAGTCGCATTCGTTCGATTTCGCTCGACTTGAAGGCGTCCATTGAAATACTTCTAACGAATGAAATGTGGACTCCAAGGCCTCGATGCACACCAGCGCACGAGAGGCAGATGAAGATGCCAAACTTGGGAGACGCCCACTGGGGAGAGGGCGCATTGCAATCGCAGCAGACATTATTCTTTGATTCCTTCTGGAGGGTGGCCAGCTATAGGCAGTATCGGCGTCAGCATGTGTGACTGCAGCACAAAGTACAGAGAGGATGGGGAGAGATTAGATGAGTAGGAAAGGGGATGAATGGTGGTGGACGAACCTTGGACCGAGTCTCGGGATCGACTTCCCACATGCCCTTAGATGCCATCTCGAGAGGTTCAGTGCTATTGTGAGATATTGGAGCGTCGATTATATTGGATGTTGCAGCTGCTGTCCTTGTTGGGCACGATATAACTTAGTACGTGCAATGGATCTTTATGATGGGTTGGAAACACCTGAAAATGGAAACAGAAACAAAGGGAGACATCTGAGGGCGCTAGTGCCATAGGGTACCATGCCTTTACATTCACACCACCCACTCAGCGCCCATGGCTACCAACCTAGGAGCCAGCTCCTCCCGCTCGTTGCCATGAGGTGCCCCAACCCGCGGGGTGCAAGACTTCTGATGTTAAATTGAGGTGCCAAAAATACCCAGTCTAAGATCTTCTCAATCTGTACTAAATTATACTAAGTTTACCTAAGGGTTTTTGTCACCTAGGATCGAGGTCCTAGGTTTTATTATATTCCCCTGCCCAACTGCTCCCGGCCATTTAAGGGGCTAAGGTTGGCGGGGCATTTTTATCCATCCATACCTTAGATGCCTTACCTTACATTCGCTACACTCTATCAGAACATCATTAAGGCCAGTTCTAGAACCTTAGCCACGTGAGCTATATTGTATGTATATACGTAGGTGTCCAGCATCAGTCTGTACGTTTCACAATGGATTCAAGTCTTTCATTTGCAACTCCCACAATCTTCTGCATGCAAATGGTCCAAAACAGTGGTGACGCATTAGGCAACTTGACATATCCGTTATCATCCTGTCATCCAAAGCTATGACGCCTCTTCCCATGCGCCCCCATAATCCTCAAGGGCAAACTTCACTATCACCTTGTCTCGTCCCTATGATGTCGAGCACAAAGCGTTACCACAAATTGCATACCTTCACCATTACAGCAATATACTTTGCACATACAAGCGACTAAAAATTCACGTAGGCCTGTTCAGCTTCATCAAAACGCCCTTTATAATACCGCTAAACTTTTCTCTCCCCTTGCCGCCTCCGGTGTAAACTAGTGTACAACCCGCAGAAGGGTAACGGAGAAAAGGTGATACAAATACAAGATAACAGAGGGCCTGTGAGCTTTTTTGTGTCCCGATCATGGGAATATTAAGTGTTTGATGAGAAAAAGTGATAAAGGCTGATAGTAAACACCACCCGAGATTCATTGAAAGCTCGATTCGCTCTTGCTTACGTCCCCAAGATCCCGGCAAAGTCGAATACCTCATTCTTTCTTTTCATCGTTGTAGCGAGAATCTACCGTAAGAGAAATTCGTGAAAATCGCGTACCAAATCGTAAGTGTTATCATCGTGGCATACCTGGTTCATGCCCGTGAAATTCGTGCAAAGCCATAACTTAAGCAGTAGTGGCAGGGGTGGTAGAGGCGGGGGTAGCCTCAGTCTTAGTGGCAGCAGCAGGAGTAGCCGCGTCGGCACCAGCAGCAGGGGCGGGTGCGGCGGCGGCAGTGACCTCAGTAGCAGGGGCAGTCTCCTTCTGGCTGTTGGTAGCATCACCCTCGTGCTGTTCCTCGTCGGTCTTGTCGGGGCTGTCAATAGCAACCTTGACGGCGATCTCACGACCCTCAATCTCCTTTCCGTTCATCTCATTGACAGCCTTCTGCTGGAGTTCCTCAGAAGCCAGAGTAACAAAGCCAAAGCCACGGCCCTTGCGAGCCTCGCCACGAGCCTGAAGCTTCTTGATCATGAATCGGGGAATGGGTCGGAGAGCAATCTTGGCGGAAGAAGGCTCATAAGCCTTGAAAAGCTCAATAAGCTGTTATATTGTTAGAAAACTGCATCGAAGACGAGACAGGTCAGTTGTTCTTACCTTATCCTCAGTCAGGTCGTAAGGCAGGTTGGCAACCATGACCTTGGTCTTAGAAGGAATTCCATCAGCAGGAGGGCCCCGCTCACGGCGCTCACGCTGGGGGCGAGCTGGAGTCTTAGTCTTGGTGTTCGCGTCAGTGTTGATCTTGTTTGTGATGTCGGTCAATGGTAAAACCTCAGCGGTAGCGGGAGCCGCAGCTGCGGGGGCAGCATCTTCAGTAGCGGCAACAGCCTCAGTAGTCTCTCCCTCCTTCTTCTCAGCACCCTCCTGCGGCATGGTTAGTACAATATTCGTGTATACCAGAACTGGAGAATAACTCACACGGCCAGCGCGGGCAGTGCGGCCTCCACGACCACGGCCACGACCGCGGCCACGTCCCGAAGCTCGGCGACGGGAGCCCTCTGCACCAGAACCCTCACCGTTAGCACCCTCTGGCTTCTCGCCAGTGGGCTCAGGCTTGCGAGCGAGCTGAACAGAAACCTTGCGCTCAAGGATCTCCTTGCCGGAGAGCTCCTCGATGGCACGCTCAGCCTCAGTGGGAGTGGAGAGGTCGACAAAGGCGTAGCCGACAGGACGGTCGGTGCGGGGGTTCTTAGGAATCGAGACAGACTCACTAGTGGCAAGAACGTTAGTACTTATAAAGGTATATCCATGATGGGGTGATGGAGCGACGGCTGTTGATGACGAAGTAGTGGAATCAATGAGGCAGCCACGATTCGAGCCACAACAGGCAAGGACACTAGCTACCCATTTCCATTCCAAGACTTGGTGATTGGGAAAGAGCTTCACGCGTGCTTGCCATCATTTGTCATCATATGATGGCTAGGGAAGGCGCCCATCGCGATGGCGAAGACACGTGTCTCCAGCTTGTCGCTCATCGCATGAAACACAGAAGGCGATACAAAGATAAAAGAAGCCGCGTAAGGAGATGATGAAGAAGAGGAGATAGAACTTACACAAGATAGCTCTTGAAGAAGTCCTTCAACTCCCCCTCAGTTGTCGCATAGGCCAGGTTGCCAATGTAGAGGCGACGGCCCTCAGCAGCGCTAGCCGAGGCAGCCTCGTTGGCGGCCGTCTTGTCATCGGCAGGCTTGTTGTTGAGTGAGGTATTGCTCAGAGTGTTTGCGACGTCATTAACGGCAGCATCCATGTTGTTGTTGGTGGTGGTAGTAGTGTTGGCGGCAGACATGATGGCGGTGGGTGGATGAGGTTGGTGGTTAGATTGATTATGACGTTCGAACTTGGACCTGTGGTGGAGGAGCGTTCGGAAACGATGGCTGCGAGTTGAACAGGTTGAACTCTGGTGCAATAAGGAGGAGTTTGATCAGGGTAGCTTCGTGCCCTAGAAACGAGGTTGAGATTAGACAGACGACGGTGCGTTGCGCGGAGACACAGGTGTTTGATGTTGTGATGGAGAAGAGAAAGGGAGGAAGTGAAGGCGACTGGTAGTGGAATCTGAAATATTTTTCTGGCCTCTGGGTTTGGGGGGCACAGAGGGAAGGAGGAAGGGGGGTGTTGTCAGGGGTGTGGGCAGGTGAGGAGTTGTGGAAAGTGGAAGTGGCCAGGGCTAGGGGGACGACAGCAGGCGTAAAGAGCGGAGGAAAGTTTAGTACAGGTCACGAAGGAAGGTACGAGAACCACGATCAGTTGGCGGCTACGACTCCACGTTGAAGTTTGGATGCCCATGTATCATCCACTGTGAATGGCGGTATTCGATACCTGAAAGCTTCGGGGGAGAGCTTCAGTTTTGTGGATTCTTTCCCGCTTGAGTGGTTACAGATCCTGGACACCTCGAGACCGCTTTCGGCCGGGGGAATTGTTTCCAGAGCCTGTATCAAACACTCTTACCTGGGTATGAGAAAGGTAGCTGTTTGAATGTTCAAGATGAACGATCTTGGCAGCAATTGGCAGTGAGAGAGAAGGGATCACCCGTTTGAAGGAATTGTTCACATATTTTTACTTGCTTGATGCATAAATTGTGCCAATACTTTATGTACAGGATATTCATATTAGGGCCTGACGTGTGGGTGCTGCGGGCCAAGGATCATGTACGTCACTCTATGTACAGTATCGGTGTAGTTAAAGTGGTGCGGTGATGCTCTGTTGGCTACTAACTTGCCTACCTTGACTGTAAAGTCAATATGAATAAAGGCTTTGTTAGAGCTGAGACACAAGTGAGTCGAAAGCTTCTCGGATGGCATCAATGATTTTGATGTCCAAAGAACACCTGGCGTAAAAACCAGGAAATTAATATAATTGTAAGAATGCGAGTTGTGCCTAGGTATTCAGATAACATCTCTTTCCTCCCATTGCGCTGACCGCTCATGTTGATATCCATGAATCGATATCACGGTCAAGAACAGTGGGGTGCCTGCTAGCCTCTCAGCGGCGTAGGTTTATGAGCAAGACAACATCAGCGAATTACTGTGTAGCATACCTAGCTTGGTGTGAATAAGGTAGGCAGGTATAATAGAATCTTGTTCACAATAATAAATCAGCAGGTTGGCAAAGCTGTAACACGTATCTGGTTCTTATAAGGCGCATAGTCTTCTGTACTCCAAACTCTGGACTATACATTGAGATATGGATGATTCCAAGTCTCGAGAAGCAGTAATATTATATCTAATAAGTTGTATAATGCTTTTATAGAAACACAAATCTGTATTCACAAACCATTATCATTGACAGTCCAACATATAACACTACCGATCTCGAGCTTCCCCATACCAATACCGCAGCCTGGAAGTTTCATCGTTCCTTTAAATCCCAACGCCCTTTGCTACCTGGACAAAGGTTCTCAAATTACCTGATAATCATAGTATAGGCTCACGAAGTTGCTTGGTTGCCTGCATGGCGGAAATTGCATACCCTAGATAATTTCACAGCCTGACAGCTTATCGAGTCACACATCTGAGCGAGCCCCTGACCGGGTCGATTCACCCCCTTTGCAAGCCCCTTTTACATGGCGGGAGCCAAGACCAGGGCATCATCGATCATTATCAGCTCCCACCAATAATTGTACGAGAAGAGGTGAGCTACCTATTCTATTCTTACATCCATGTTCATAGTGCACACCCGCCCATGCTCATGATCCCTCCATGCCCGGCAGCTCGGATCCAATGCTGCCCTGCAAGCCAGGATTAGGATTGTGTTTCTCAAGTCCCCGAAAGCCAAGCCAGCTCCTTACTCCACAGCTTCTTCTTCTAGAACTTGCCCGTTGTCAATGCGTTTGAATATGACAACTGTTTTAGGAAATGTTCCCTTTGGTTTGCAGTTTGTGGTCAATCTTCAATAAGGACCTTGGGCTCTAGGCGGATATAGATTACCCGGTATTGTTGACATAAGAAGCACTATGCAAATTGTTGTCTTTGTAATAAATTGACCAGCACAACGATTCCATCAACATTTGTTTTATACATGGCATTAGCCATTGACAATGAATAGTGTGCTTGGGTCCTGAACAGACAAGAATATAGTCTTGTAGATATGGGCCTGTAGGACGAAGGTCACGTGCAACAACATGTTCATTCAATCTCGATAATCGTGAACAAACGCTGTATCATTTGGGATTCCATTCCCATTGATCAATCAATCAGGCCCCAGATTGATAAGATCCCGAAGCTCAATAGATTCCTCGCCCCGCCATCGGCCATCCACTAACCGGCGCTAACTCTGACGCAAACCATCCCACTAAACAACCTCAACCTGCGAGACCGGACCATGGCTTAATCACCTTTACTAACTCCAGTCTTTATCTACAAACTCATATACCATTTTCCTCGGTCAGTCACTATGGCCGCTCACGATAGGAGCGTGCTCGTCCTGTACGGTTCCGAGACGGGCAATGCTCAGGACATGGCAGAAGAGTTGGGGCGAATATGTCAAAGACTGCATTTTGAAAGTCGTGTTGAAGAACTCGACGCAGTAGATCTAGTAGGCCCTTTAGCTCTTCTATTGATGACTATTGCTGACTTCCTAAACTAGAATACACTTCTTCAACCTAACTTCATATTATTCGTCATATCAACCACTGGCCAAGGAGATATGCCGCATAACTCACTGGTCTTCTGGAAAAGGCTTCTTCGGAAGAAACTACCACCAGGTTGCTTAGCTTCAGTCAAGTATACAACTTTTGGACTTGGAGATAGTACTTATGTCAAGTCAGTCAGTCATTGAGGGCGTTTGATGTTGTTCACGGTGGCTTATACAGTACAGGTTTAATTGGGCAGCTCGCAAGCTCAACAGGCGTCTCGATCAGCTTGGTGCTACAACCTTCTTTGATCCCTTTGAGGCGGACGAACAATTTCCAGATGGGTCAGCTCTCGTTGTCCTAGATCTCTCGTCGAAGTAGCTAATGTTGTGGATAGTATTGACGGAAGTTTTGTGCGTTGGGGTGAGCGACTTTACAACCACTTACTTGAACACCATCCTCCCCCTAATGGACTTGAGCCTATCCCTGATGATGTTATTCTTCCCGCTAAATGGTCCCTAAAGAGTCCTCTCACTGGAAATTCAATAAGCAACGGCCACGCATCTCCGATAACTTCCAACCTCCCTCCCTCTTCACCTCTTCCTATTCCCAATGGTTGGAAAGCAACTCTGGTTGGAAACGACAGACTCACACCAGAGAAGCACTGGCAAGATGTCCGCCTCATCTCATTTGACATTCCACGTCGTGATGGAGACAAGTTGTGTTGCGTCCCTGGAGATTGCCTGACTATCTACCCTAAAAACTTCCCCCAAGACGTCCAGAAGCTCATTACCCTTATGGGCTGGGAAGAGGTGGCTGACAAATCCCTTGACCTCTCATTATGCGAATCTCTTCCTACGAACCTCCATATAGATCCCAAATGCACACTGAGAGAGCTACTTTTGAATAACATCGACTTCACTGCAATCCCTCGGAGATCATTCCTCAAGAACATGTCTTACTTCTCTACCAATCCAGACCACAAGGAGCGGCTTCTCGAGTTCACCATGACTGAGTACCTTGACGAATATTTTGACTACGCAACTAGGTCAAGGCGATCTATTCTTGAGGTCTTAGAGGAGTTCACATCCGTCAAACTACCTGCCGAGCGTCTCTTCGATATTTTCCCAATTATCCGCGGACGAGACTTTAGCATTGCCAATGGTGGCGAGCATCAAAATCATCCGACAGACAAGGACAAGGCTCGTGTCGAGCTTCTGGTCGCTTTAGTCAAATACAAAACTGTCCTTCGCAAACCTCGCGAGGGCCTCTGCTCTCGTTATCTCGATAACATTCCCTTGGACTCCATTCTTACTGTCACACGCAAACCAGTTCTCTCACCCATTCATGGCCCACAGAATGCCCGACGGCCTCTAGTTGCCATCGCCACAGGTACAGGCCTTGCCCCAATACGGGCCCTTATTCACGAGCGCCTCATGCACCCGTCACCAGGACCGATGTACCTCTTCTTTGGGAACCGCAACCGTGAGGCCGATTATTTCTTCCAGCAAGAACTTGACGCCGTCGTGCGTGAGGGACATCTCAATGTGTTTTTAGCATTCTCGCGTGATCAGCGAAATAAGATCTATGTCCAGGACAGGCTACGCGAAGAGGCCAAGAGAATCGAGGAGGCAATCCTCGACAATGGAATATTCTGCGTCTGTGGTGGTTCAACCAAGATGGCGGATGCGGCTAAGAAGGCAGTGTTTGGCCCCTTCTCGGAGGACGTAAATGATACAGAAGAGCGCAAGAAGATTCTGGCAGCATTGACATGGTGGCAGGAGATATGGTAAGAAATTGTCAATAGAAAATATAGTACATACTTTAGACTCAGCATACAAGCATGGCAGTATCAGGAGCACATGATAAGCATATCATCATGTGGTTGATCATAAATTGAATAAGAACTATCCTTCTCTTTTGTATTTGAGACTGACATATCAAGACAAATCATAACGCTCGCTCATGCAAATTCGAAAAAGAAAACGGTATACCAGCCTCAATGGACTGCGGGTTTTAACCAGTCTGGGCCAGATATTACCCTGGCAATCTGTGGCATTACTTGAATCAGTTGGATATCGCGCTGACCACGGCCGATACCAGGCCAGACCGTAGACATCGTCCCTTCCGTGTTTCTCGTCAGCAAAGCCAGGATTCTCCTGCTAGCCTGATCATTATGAGAACAAGGCGCACGGCAACCCGCTCATTACTCCCAGCTATACCGCCTTTCAGCCAGTTGCGGCACATGAACCAGATCCTCGCCAGGATTGATGCGCTCTCGGCTTTGTGAAATATCAGGCTGATCTGTCGAAGGATTCTGTGGTGGATCTTCTATCACAGAATTCACGGATGAGCCGTTTGTACCTAGATCCAACCGCCTCGATGGTCCTTCTGCGCTTCGTCTTTCCTCGTCGACAGTGAAGTTACTTCCCAGAGTATCAACAGAGCCGTGCCGACGTGAGGACTCATCAGTGGCTTGATAGTCTTCATCTGATAGAATTTGTGGAGCGGCGTGGCGGGAGAAGCGCGCATTCTTGGGCAGTGCCCCAAGAAATACAACGTTTGATGGATCAATGGGTGTCCGTTGAACTCCTCGCTGTTGTAGCTCGTTCGACGGTTTCGATGAAGAGTGAGGTTCACGTTCTGAATGGGTTCCACCCATTGCCATGGAGTTAATGGTATAGTGGTCCGAAGTCGGAGAAAGGGGTGAGTTTGGTAATGAAATACTGTCGGTAGTTGGCGATACTGGTATAGTAGTTGGAGAGGGTGCCTCGATGGGACGGCCATTCGCATCGAAGCCCGGAGTGAGTGGAGATGGCAGCGGTATCGAGCTTGTATTCGTACCCCCTTGCTGTGTTGTTTTTAGAGATGCCGATGGCGATAGTTGTAGGGCCACAGGCGGACCATTTGTTGGGTCTGGTTGGTATATGGCTTTCTCTGCGGGTATCTCCGTCCCATCAGCAGGGGGGGTATATGTTGGGACTGGTCCCTGGAGTTGTTTCTCCAATTTCCTCCGGGCTATCTCGTAGGCAGTCATGTTATGCGTGCTGTCGGTACCCATCTCAGTACCATCGTTCCATGACATGCTATCATCGCCATCGAGTTCTGCTACTGGAAGTGGTGCTGACATCTCGTGGATTTGAGTATCGGGAGCTTCAGCAACCTTTTCTCTATCATTGGTGCCATCTCCTGCTTGCTGAGTCGAGGAGTTTCGTCCGAGAATTTTCGAAAACAATATGACCAAAGGGGATTTGGGTGATCGCAATGCGCTATTTGGCGTAAGATCCTGATCCTCTGCTGATAGGTTATTTCCTTTGGCTGCTCGCTTGCGTTTGCGTCGAAAGTACAACCACACAAACAAAGCTGCTGCACAGACGACGAAGACACCCAACCCAACACCCACTCCTATTCCAATTACCTGTCCATCTGAAAGCCCACCTTCATCCTCTGCATATGGTGGAGGATAGGGACTGTCGTCAGACTGTTCGATGGCAGTCAGTTCCGAGTTTGTCGGTGGCTCGTCTGGAAAAAGAGCTTGATGGATTGAGAAGACGCCCTCATCATACTTGGTTATAAGGTAGGACTCCTGTAGAAAGGAACGGCCTAGTATGTAGGAGCCGCTATTCTTCGCCTTTCGTAGCATAAAGTAAGGGATTGCTGGGTCACCATATTGGATCGTATCAGGCATGAAAGGATATTGCAGTAAGCCTACAAAGGCTCTCAAAGGTATGGTAATATTGACGGTGCCTGGTACATTGTAAGGGTCGCCAAAGTTATCGTTATCGTCAAAGCTTGAAAGCACAAAGGTAAGTTCGAATGACTCGTCATTTGTATAGTCACGGTATTGATCGTCACTTAGGGTGTAAAGTTCGAAGGTACTGTTATACGTCAAGTTAAGAGCTTGGGCAAATTGATCGCAAGCTTCGTCTGGTAGCCACAGGTAGGGAGTGCTGCTATCGATGATGGCGAAGAAAGATGAGTTCCATTGGGAGAGCAAAGGTTGTTGAGATTCCCAAGAACTAGGAACATCTTGGCCTTCGGCGGGTGTGATCTGAATGCCACGCACCTTAGGGCGCTCCAGGTTGTCTTCCTGGCTGAGCGTGAAGACGTTGTCGTGCTGTTTAAACCTTGGCGCTTCAACGCCTCCAAGAGTCAAGGATACAGGTGTATTTCCTAGTTATATTAGCGACCTTGACAACAGAAGTTGTATGGAGGACAGCATACTGTAGTGTGCTCCAGCTGTATATCCGAAGCTGTAGCTTGGAATCAGTCCATACGTTCCAACTGCTTGGGTCAATGGTGAATCCGCCACAGTGCCATTGAAGTTACTCTGTGTGATCCCCAAACCGAAGAGACCGTTCAAGTAGTTGGTCGTGTTTATGGTCGCTATTAGCACACCGTCCATGGTATACGGATCATCACTGAGAGGGCTTTGCGTGCTGATAACATCGCGCCCGTAGTTTCCATTCCCATCGTAACCAAGATAGCTTAAACCTAACTGCCATGTACCTAGGGGGCTCCAATCGCTAGATTCTTGAGGATTATAAATGCCTCCGCGAGCGGCGATACAGTGAGGCTCCTCTGTTAGAGTGTCAATGGCAGAACCAGAGTAGAAAGGGTATCAACGACTCCTTGAGTTTGAGAGGTCAAACTTAAGAACGATCGGCCAAGAGAGGAAAACATACCGGGTAGACATCCTCCCGGTCCAATGGCCCAGAATTCGGAGAGAGCTGTGCTCACCAGAACCTCAATGGCCTGTGAGTTTGAACCCAGGGAAAATGAGATGGTAGACCAATTGCCATCGCTTCCAGTCCTGTCTTGTGTATTAGCATCGACTGCAACAAAAAGGACCGAGCAACGTACCAACCGCCAGAAGGCAACAAAACAGGTGCAGGATCACGGGCTTGTGCGAGTTGCACGAGAAAGAAGTACGATCCTAGGATAATTGACCACATCTCGAGTCTGGCAGAGAGATGTGAGAAAGCCTATCGTTTTTGACCCTCACCAGAAAGGTCATCCTAGGTTCGAAGCAAACATCAAATGAGATTTCTTGAGCCGATAGAGTGGAGGTGACCGCAATGCGGCACATTCAACGTCGCGATTCGCACCAAACGACGATCCTGGTGTCTTGTCAAGTGTCGCAGTGCGGTTAACACTAACAACAGCAAAGTGACATGGAGCCGGATCCTTCTTGGTGATGGCCGCTATTGTTCAACACTGGCACGGAATAATGATTCGTTGAAGCTGCCAAGGCCGGATAAGAGCGTAAACCAGTGCGTTTGGTGACAATGGAACTGAGAGTTTGTTGGAGTAGCCAGGGCGAGGAGACTGAAGATTAACGAGTCTCAATGGCCTCGGACTGAAAAGAAAGCCACAGAGTAGCGTTACATGGCTTTGGCCATTTCTAGCTTGGCTTGGCCCCCAAAGCTATGGCGCGGAGCGCGGAGTGTTCCTTGGCGTTCACTAGGCCATCCCGAAGAGGTCGCAGGGGTAATTTGTTCGTTATTGGCTGAGTTGAACAACCTTATCATCCCGAGGAGTTCCCTCTTCCATCTTGAATACATAGCATCGACGAAGAACGACTGTCTGGTCGGAGTGGAACTCGTGGTCTTTTCAAGTTGCATTGCCATCAGGACGTGCCAATGCTGTAGAGCTTCACGATGTTGTTGCATCATAATAGCTGTGTTTTGCTCTACGTTACTCGATTGTATCATTAAGTGTTGTCGTAGCACCTGAAGGGAAACAAAATAGCTTTGGGTGCTTTTGAGATTCTTGAAACGATCCTTGTCCCTGTTAACAAAGGTCCTCGATCCGTGTGACATGGCGAGCACACTCGGCGTAGAACCCTGACGCTGGCAAGTCGGTGGCTGGAAAGCGTTGCACGACTAGTAAGATCCTGGCTGCAGATTCAACGATCAATCAATACGACGAGGTCCATCAATATCAACTTCGATAATAAACTGGTACCACCGAGTACCCCTTCTACGTGGTTTGGAGCATAACATGTGAACGAAATTTAAGCTACTGTTTAGGGTGCCTGGGTATCCGCACAGTAACAGAGCTTATTTCACAATGGCAATTTCCGCTGACCTGAAGATCTTAAAACCCGGACCCGAAAGTTGTTGTTGCTGGTCGGATGTGAAGATTGCAAATACTGAGATTTTGCTTCTGATCCATCTTCTTCAGCTCCGTATGCCAGTGTCTCTTTTCAGCTCCATATGGAAGACCGAATGGATACCATTTGTTTGAACTTCAGCTGGATGTAACTTGAGACATTATATTGGACCTGCGTAACTTTGATTGTCCCACCGTTCCCACCGAATGTTTCCCGGAAGGTCGGGACTTGTGAGGTGGTAACACTCTGAGTTTAACTTCTACAGATCATCGCTGGCTCTTCCGATTTTTGACTTTTAGGATCTTTGTACGTCCAAGAGGTGAAATGAAACCTGAATAAGTGATGACCCGCCAAGGGGAATCGACCGTTCTGGAGTGTCATGTTCTGAGCTAGGCCAAACAGAGTCGATGGACGCATCAACTAACAAGGGAGTTTTCGCATAGGATGAAGGCATCAGCCACATGCATTCTGGGCTTTGTGGTGGGTGCCCATGCAGCACGCAGCACACAGTGCAGCTGTATGGAATGCCAGGGCTGTTTGTGTCTCCAGCAATCAAAGAAAGCCCCCCGGAGCTATTCTACTAGAGCGAGGACAAAAGTCGGGTCCAGAGATGAAACAGTACAGGAAAGGAAGGCCCTGAGAGGCCGAGTCAATTAGCAGCCCCAGTTGAACTTTAAC